ACAGACTTATCATTTTTTGGAAAATGCTGCCCATTGACATATGGATTTTAAGATGTATTTTACTGGCTTTGCAACTTTTTAGTATCAGTTACATCCTACTCATTCCTAAGTTACATCACTTAATGACAGGGAATACATTCTGAGAAATGTATCTTTAGGTGATTTTGTCATTGTGAAAACATCATACAGTATAATAACACAAACCTGGATAGTATAGCCTACTGTACACCTAGCCCATATAGTATAGCCTATTGCTACTAGGCTGCAAACCTGTACAGCATGTTACCATACTAAATACTGTAGGCAATTGTAACACAATATAAGTATTTGTATATCTAAACATATCTAAACATAGAAAAGGTACAGTAAAAATACAGTATTATAACCTTATGGGACCACTATCATATATGTGGTCTGTTGTTGAGTGAAATGTCATTATGTGCCACATGACTATATGAACTGGGAAAAAAGGAAAATTGGTAATGTTGGCAATTCTACCCAATATTCCACATGAATCTGTATAAATAGGGATCGTATAACAGTTAAGAACACAGGCCAGCCAGACTGCCTAGGTATGATACCCAGCTCTATCTACCGGCTACGATCCCTATGACCTCAGTTTGGTAGGCTTACTGCCTCATCTGAAAGGTGAGAACAAAAATATGTCTTACCTCCTAAGGTTTGAACAAATTAAGTCAGCTAATAGTTAAAAAAACGAAACAAAACTGCCTAGCACAGTGCTGGCCATAAAGTAAGTGGCGACTAAGTGTCTGTTATTATTATTCTTTTAAAAATTTATTTCTGTTTGAACGTGCCTCTCAGCATGTCCATGAAGCTATTCACACTGAATTTCATGGGAAAACTAAGAAATTTTCATTTTTTTTGGAAAATATTGTATATTCAATAAACTGTGTTATTATTTCTTCCTTATTGCTGGCTTTAAATCCTAACCTCCATGTAAAAGACTCTTCTAACCCCTAAAGCCTAACCATAGCATAGGAAAAAAAAAGCACATTTAAAATTTATTAGTTGAATTTAGAAACAGGAATTCTGAATCTTGGCACTACTGATGTTTTGGGCTGGTGATTCTTTTGAGGGGGTGAGTGCAGGGGGTGTCCCGTGATTTGTAGGAGGTTTAGCAGCATTTCTGGTCTCTATCCATTAGATGTCAGTGATACTCCTCAGTTTGACAACCAAAATGTCTTCATTTTGCCAAGTGTCCACTGGGGACAAAATCAGTCCCTGTCGAGAACCACTGCGTAAACATGAGTTAAAGTGGTGTCATCACAGCTACATATGACACTTAGAAAAAAAGATGGAAACACAACATTCAGTTATATCATAAATTACAGATTCAGGAGGATAGCCACAATTTAAAACCAGATAGTAGTCATGAAAAGTGTTTCCACTTGATGTTTTGCAGTCTCTCTTCAAGGGACTAATGACGATATGTCGTTCCTCTCTAGGAATACTGATCGGCTTGTAAGGATTTATTCGTATTCTACTATCATCACCATTTGTATTCGTCTTCCATATATCTGGATAAGGTGGAGTCTAAATCATTCTCCTATCATAACTCTCATTCTTCAACAACGGATGTTTGCCAGTCCCCTCAAGACCAGTTAATACGACTATGGGCATAATTCAGAGTTCCCACAGCAAGTCACGTCTCCCATATTCCATAACAAGAATGTCCTTTTTTCAGTATGCTTCACTTTTGGTAAATGCCAGTCAAAACAAAATAGGAAGTAGGCTATAACTACGATAGGGAGTGGCAGATGAAGGGGGTCAGGGGACTGATCTGCACTGGATATTGTCTAGAAGAATAAACTCCTTAAGAAATAAAATAATGCAAATAATACTGGACATTCAGAAGCATGAAATCAGATGCCGATCGCTTTGGTTTATTCTTTATAGTTCTATTAGACATGCTCTCTTCCTATCAGCATTTTGCTCCTCAGGTTTTTATTTTCCCATCTCACATATATCCTAAAGTAATATACATACATACAAATATACAGTGTTTTATAGTACATTTATATGCATAACTATTATCAAACAAAATTGTATGCTTTGTTCTCAGTTGTAAAAGGTCAATTCGTATATATTTAAAAATCTTTCCTTCCTATTCCAGCAAAGTTGCATTCTTAAAAACTGTAAATCGAAAAAAACATGTTTTTTTTTCTTTTTTGAGATTCAGTCTGGCTGTCACCCAGGCTGGAATGCAGTGGCATGATCTTGGCTTATTGCCACCTCCACCTCCTGGGTTCAAGCGATTCTCCTGCCTCGGCCTCCCGAGTAGCTGGGGTTACAGGCGCGCGCCACCACGCCCAGCTGATTTTCTTATTTTCAGTAGAGAGAAATGTCACCGTGTTGGCCAGGCTGGTCTCGAGCTCCTGACCTCAAGTCATCCGCCCGCCTCGGCCTTCCAAAGTGCTGAGATTACAGGCGTGAGCCTCCGCGCCGGGCCTCGTCTAAATTTTTAAAAGAAAGTTTTTTCCAACCGCATTCACGAGAAGTGCTTCTCTTTCACGAAATAACAATTAGAACACAACTAGTGAAACCTTCAGGACTTCAATCACTGCTTTTTCTAAACTACCACTTTCCAGCAGGGAGACGGAGCGGTAGCTTGGGGTAAAATTAAAACCTAGCATTACCATGAGTTAAGATCAAGATAAATGGGTCACTGCCGGCGCTTTGCTTGGTAAACTAAAACATTTCTCATCACTAGAACTCATAATCGGTCGGCAAGGAGGGCAAAACTGGGTTTACTAAAGTGAAAGCTGGAGGATCCGGGGGACACAAGCAGAAACCTGTCAAAGAGGGGAGGGGCCGGGTTCCAGCACCGACAGGACCAGGATACTTATTTCCGACTCTGGAGAGAGTAGGGCGATACCACACCTCCGCGGCTCCAGCGTGTTCACCACAAAATCTTTTCCCTGCGGCCACCACCATCCTGCAGAACCGTTTCTTCTTTTCCACATAGTAACCGCATCTACCCTCAGCTGGAAAACCAGTCGCGTGCGGCGACGACGCGGAGGTCGCCATAATTCAGGGTTCACTTCGGTTGTCCAGCACCCGGCAACCAGAAGAAAAGTTGTCAGCTTCCTTCGGGTCCCCTTCCCTTAACAAACATGGCTGCCTCAGCCCCCGCGACACAAGTTAATGCCCGGAACTACCACAACCGTCTTCCCCTTATCCTCCACAGAACCGGAAGAATCCGATGGTGGCTGGCGAGGGCCAAGTCTCTTACGTCTTTCCCTCGTTTCACTCTCCCCGCCTCCTCCGCAGAAGCCGAGCGCCAAACTCAAACTCTGTCAGGACCCGGACGCCTCTCGGGCTAGGTCCGAGGGCCGGGCCTGTTGGGCTTTTCCGCACACCAGCCGGGACAGCGAGCCAACATGAGCCAAGTTCTGTTCCACCAACTAGTCCCGTTGCAGGTGAAATGCAAAGACTGCGAGGAGAGGTAAAGAGCGCGTCATCCAGTGCCCGCGGGTGGCGGTTGGGGTCAGGCCAATGGGGAAAGATGGCGGTTCCGGCCAGTGGGCTCTGCCTTGCACCTAGGTGTCGAGTCGGCCCCCCAGGAAGCGGATAGGGAACCCAGAGGGCCCAGTGGTTACCTCTCTCGCCAAGTCGGCCGTTGCAGAGGGGTCTGGAGGAGGGGTGTGAGGAAATAGGAAGCCGGCTCACATCAAGTTAATGTCAAAAACCCTAGCTGTGGACGGAATCGTGAAGATTGTAGCCCTACTCTTCCCTTTTGACAGATAAGAACTCTGGCCCAGAGAAGTTAAAAAAAAATTACGTGAGGGCTCACAGCCAATTCATGGCAGGGTCAGCGCTAGAACTCAGGCCTTGGCTCGGAACCTTTTCTCCCCGTTCTCTTTTGAGAGTATGTTGGTAGTAAGGTTCAACTTTTAAAAACCTACCAATTTGGTGGCGTACTTTGGCTCTTCACATCAGTTGCTTTAAAAAAAAGTAAATTACATTTAACCGACTAACAATGAGAAAATCAGAAACGTCATTAATTAATTCATTCAGTAAGTATTGGTTCCTTGTAAAACACCTTGCTGGGCACTGGGAATACAGTGGTCAGGAAAAACAGTCCTGTTTTTCATGGAGTTTACAATCACTGGAGGAAATAAAGACCAGTCGCACAGAGAAGTTCAACTTTGATTAAGGAGGTGGTTTTGTTGGGGCGTAAATAGAGAGATTTGACCAGAGGTCAGGAGACTTAATTTTTTTTCTCAGTTCCAACACTCAGTAGTTGTCTCTTTTTTCTTTGAACGTTCTTTCCTCATTTGTAAAACTGATATAACGTGCGTATTCACGTGTTTGTAATGAGGATCAGGTGTGAAATCGTATGTGAAAACTAAGTGGTGTATAAATGTAACATAAAAAATGAAATGAAGACATTGCCTTATTGAGTTGCCGGTAATGTCAAACTGTGGTACATATAGTTCAGAATTCGGTCAAAAATCAGTGGCAAGCCGGTCGAGGAGATGGTGCCAAAACCAGCAGCTGCATATGGAGATCTGTAGGTTTAGTTGATCATTCTTCTAATGCTGTCCAGTATGGTAACCACTAGCCACATGTGGTTATTAGACACTTGAAATGGGGCTTATCTGAATTGTTGTGCTTTACGTTTGAAAATGCACGTTGGATTTTTAAGACTTACTATGAAAAAAGAATGTAAAATATCTCAGTTTTTATATTATGTGTTAAATGGCAATATTTTTGGGTATATTAGGTTAAATACAATGTATTATTAACAGTAATAATGTATTGTTATACTATTATATATTAGTATATAGTATATACTAATTCACCTGCTTTTAAAAGTTTTTTTTAAAATGTGACTTCTAGAAAATTTAAAAGTAGGCTAGGTGTGGTGGCTCACACCTGTGGTCCCAGCACTTTAGGAGGCCGAGGCGGGAGGATTGCTTGAGCCTAAGCTTGAGGTTACAGTGAGCTGTGATTGCGCGACTGTACTCCAGCCTGGGTGACAGAGTGAGACCCTGTCTCTGAAAAAAAAAAAAAATGAAAAAAATTAAAATTACGTATCTGGCTCACGTTTGTGGCTTGCATTGTATCTCCATTGGATAACACTGTTTTAGAATGATTATAGAAAGATAAAGGGGGCCATGACTTTGGTTTCAATATGGAAACTCCTAGATGGTCTCTTTCTGGTTACATTGCCATCACAGTTAATCTTAAAACTCAATTTCCCTGCTTAGAAACCTTTAATATATTCCTATTATCTGTATAGTAGGGGTCAGCAAACTGGAGCACATGGGCCAGATGTCTCACTGTTTTCGTAAATAAACTTTTCTTGGAACACAACCACGCTCATTTGTTTACAAATCGTAGCTGCTTGTGCACAGGAAGGGCAGAGGTGAGTAATTGTGACAGAGACCTTATGGCCTGCAAAGCCTAAAATATTTGCTATCTGGCCCTTTACAGAATAATTTGGTGATCCTTGACCTATAGAAAGAACACCCCAGACTCTCTCTCTCTCTCTCTCTCTCTCTTTTTTTCTTTTCCTAGACAGAGTCTCACGGTTGCCCAGACTGGAGTATGGTAGCACAATTACAGCTTACTGCGGCCTTGACCTCCCGGACCCAAGGGTTCCCCCAACCTTAGCCTCCTGAGTAGCTGCAATTGCAGGCACATACCACCACGCCTGACTGTTGTTTTTTTTTTTTTTTAATAGAGATGGGGTCTCCCTGTGTTGCCCAGGCTGGTCTTGAACGCCTGGGCTCAAGTGATCCTCTCACCCCAACCTCCCAAAATGCAGGGATTATAGGCGTGAGCCACCACACCCAGCCCAGACGCCTTGGTTGAGTATTTGAGGCCAGTTCAGCTCAACAAATATTGGC